TCTCATACTTCAGACATATTGTCAGGAGGGACCAGTTTCTGGAGAAGGATATTATGTTTGGTAAGGTGGAGGATCAGAGAAAAAGAGGAAGACCCCCAACGAGATGGATTGGCCAAGTGGCATCATCGATGGACTTAAGCGTGGCAACAATAGTGAGGTTGGACCAATGTCGGTCAATGCTTCGTTCTGCTGTGCAGAGATTCCCTATGAGTCAGTACTTACTCGATGGCAGCTAAAAACAACCACAACAAATGAATGTTAGAAATGGGGGTGGGGAATTTCCGGGCGTTGACTAAATGATCAGTCTTCAGATCTGGATCTCTGGTGGCCGCATGTCAGTTTTTAGTTCTGTCCAGAGATGGGCCCAGGCTGAGGCTGTGTTTCTCAAAGTGTGGTCTCTGAACCAGTATATCTGCACCTCTGTAATTCATTGTTCTCATTGTTAACTGCCATAGGCTGGGTTTCACTAATAGTGACCCCTTAAACAATGAACAAAAAGCTGTGTTGTCGTCAAAGGAAGCTAGAATTCTACCATTGGCCTATCAAAACCCTGGGAACTCCTGAGAAATACGCATTTTTTGCTATACCTAGACCTACTCTGATAGCGTAGTGGTTATAAATCAGGCTGCAAACCTCACAGTAAGCAGTTCGAAACTACCAGCTGTTCCATGGGAGAAAGATGAGGCTTTCTGCTCCCGTAAAGATTTACAGCCTTGGAAACCCTGTACAGGGTCATTATAAGCCAGAACTGACTCCACGGCACATCACAACAACAGACCCACTGAATCAGAAACTTTGGGAGTTTTACTGGTTGATTCTGAACAAGTTGTGGTGGTGCAGTGGTTAAAATTCTCAACTGCTATCTGAAAGGCTTAAACCCACATTTAAACTTGAGTACCATGGAGTTGCAGTGTCTTTCATGGAAGGGCCTGTGACCAGGAGCCCAGATACATGACTCCCAGGCACCTGACATCATTTCTGGCCCATAATGCTGTGATCAGAACATCTCACCCCACTTAAAGTTCACACAGCTTATTTCTTTAGGAGCCAGGGGTCCTCCCAAGTTGACTATGTATTGTCTCCCATCACCTTGCGTCTCTCCAGCTTTCTCATTCCCATGTTTGTGTCAACAGAGAAGTTCCAGGTGATTGGTCCCAAGGACCCCATTGTGGCCGTGCTGGGTGGGGCCATCACACTGCCCTGCTACCTGTACCCTGCCATGAATGCAGAGAACATGGAGCTGCGGTGGTTCCGGTCCGTCTTTCCAGAAGCCGTGTTCATCTATGAGAACCAGCAGGAGCAGAAGGAGGAGCAGATGCCACAGTACAAAGGGCGGACCTCGCTGGTAAAAGATTTCCTCACTCAGGGAGAGGCTACTGTACGCATTGACAAGGTTCGGGCTTCTGATGATGGGCTGTACACCTGCTTCTTCAAGAATGGAGATTTCTATGGATATGCCTCTTTGGAGGTGAAGGTGTCAGGTTAGTGACTTGTCTATATATTGCAGAATCCTGGAGGGTTGGAGGTCGGGACATCCTTAGGGATAATTTAATTCAGTCCCTCATTTAATAGTTGCAGAAGGAGACTCATTTATTCTTTTATCCAATGTAAATGATTGTTGTTGTTGTTGTTAAGTGCCATCGAGTCATTTCTGACCCATAGTGACCCTGTATAGGGTTTCTGAGGAGCAGCTGGTGAGCTTGAACCTCCAACCTTGCAGTTCAAATGGCTTTGTAAATGATAAAGAGCGCCTCATCTGTGCTGTGCTGTGGGATATTGCACTGGACTGCAAGGTTGTTTGAATAGCAAGGTCAGCAGTTGGTCAACTTTACCAACTGCTCCTCAGAAACTCTATACAGGGTCACTATGAGTTGGAACTGACTCGATGGCACTAAACAACAACAATCTGTGCCAGAGCCTGTTGAGGGTGCCTGGGACATATCAGTGAACCAAAAGAGATCCTTGTTGTGTGGAGTTCTTATTCTAAATGCAGAAACAGAGAAATCAAAATAAATAAATAGTTGATAGATGATATTAGAAGGTAAATAGTTCTAAGGACAAAAAGGAAAATAGAACAGGGATAGGGGATCAGGATACGGAGGTGAGGACTGAGGAATGGGGCCTGGGCTTACTGAGAATGTGCTGTCATCTGAGCAAAGGCTTGAAGAAAACAGTGATTTAGCTAAACAAATATGTGGGGATGAGAATTCCAAGCAGAAGGAAGAGTTAGTGAAAACTCTGAGTGAGAGTGTAACTGGTGTGTTCTAGGCCCACAGTGAGGCCTTGTGACTGGTGGGAGTGAATGAGGGACAGGAGGGTATGAGGTGTCAATACTGTACAACAAATGTTCCTGGTATAGATTGCAGAGGGGGCACAGATACTGAAGTGTCATTTGAATTCATTAAGCAAGCTTCTAAAGCACCCCCATAGTTGAGGGAACTGAACTTGCAAAGGCTTGTGGCACACAGAGCACAGTGTGCTTAACAGTAACCGTTGCCCTTGGTGCTAGAGTAGGTGGGCCCTGAGGGGACAAGTGAGGGCAGTTGGGGGAAGGAGAGTTTGAGAGAAGCCTTTGGAGAGGAAGGCAGATGCTGCATTACAGAAGGCTCTATGTTCTATAGAGTCCTGATGTGGTGCTGTAGGATACAGACTTGCCGGGGACCAGCCTCGACAATTTGTGAGAACTCGGAGGGAGGTATAGATTCAGTGAAAAAACACACACAGAGTCAATGGGTCATTTTGAGTCTCAGGCAGATGATGGTAATGATGACTCTCTGACTGACTGCTCTTTTATTTTCAAAATTGTTGCTTCTTATATCCCATTTAGAATATACTATGATCTCATAACAGTCACGTACAAGCAGTTACAAATCGATCAAGTATTATATTGTTACATCAAAGGTACAAGAGGAATACAAGGTCACCAAACATTCCTGTGTCTCTATACTTCTTAGTTACTCCTTAGTTATCTTGATAACGTCTGCCTTCTGTGAGCGACTCTGTTTCTCTCTAATCTTCCCTAAAATGTCTAGTTTAGCCTTGATTTGTTTTTCTCTAATCCTCTTTAAAATGTCAGGTTAATTTTGAACAAAGTTCTACATCTTAATTTCTAACTTTACCAACATCGATTATTTTCTATAGATTCATTAGTTACAGCTCACAATCAAAACCATAATTTTTACTATAACTGGTCATACATATAATTGATCAAACAATAAAAACAAGAACATAAAAATACCCTAAAGTTTCATGGTTAAGAACAAAGCAGTAATTTTCTCATGCTAACAATTTCTCAAAACCTCTAATCAAATTCCTACCTCTGATCCCAAGCTCTCACTGCCCTTGACTGTCTCCTTAGCTGCTTTCTAAAGGCCTTAATGTCCTTGACTAAAACCACATGGAATGTTTCTTACAATTTTAAGCTTGAATTGCTAAAACTTAGCTAGTGTGGTTATCTCTAATGTTAAAACTTATTGTTAATGTAAAAAACAATTTTTATAACTACATAAGATTGAATATGGGGTGAAAGTTAATGTTAATGTGAAAGGCAACTATTATAATGTGAGGTTTGTTTAAAGTATCTAATGATTATGCAAGATTTTCTAAAACTTCTTATAAGGAAATCAGAAATAAACTATTTTTCCAAGGGAAAACTAGAAACTGCAGGGCCCCCACATGAATCATCTCTTGTAGCTTTGCTAACCAAGGGGACATTCATTGTCGCTTTGCTAAACAATGAACTTTTCATGCATCAGGCTTCTTGCTGTTCTGCTCCTTGGCAGGATGGCGTCCGCCACAGACTGGACCGCAAGATTGGCAGTTCAAACTCAGAAGCTGCTCCTTGAAAACCCTATACAGGGTTACTATGGGTCTGAATCAACTTGACAGCACTTAACAGCAGCAACAACAACCATGTTCTCTATTACAGAGTTCAGATGCAGACCTGAGGAAATGTTAAGTAGAGCAGCACTTGGAATGCTCACTCTGGCAGGGACAACACCTGGATGCATGGAGTGTAGTTGTGAGGTAGACATGATGACTGTGTGAACTCAGGCAGTGGAGTGGGAAATGAGGGGTCAGACAGCAGAGAGATTTAGAAGGTAGACTTAGCTGAGTGAGTAGATTTGGGGTCACAAGGGTTTGTAGATGGACTTGGGGAACACAGATGTTCTCAGGCCTTTGCCTTAGATGTATGCAGTTTAGTAGTGGGAACATTGAGAATGATGTATTAATTACCTATCACTGTAATAATGGTATGTAACAATTGGCCAGAAAAATCTCAGTACTGTGTATCAGCAAGCATTTGACTTGAGCATTTTTAGCATTCAGCTAACCTAGGCTGGGTTTAGCTAATTTCAGCTGTGCTCCTGTATACAGTTTTGGTCAAATTAAGAGGTAAGGACCTTGGCTGGGTTTTCCTATGATGGGAGTCAAATGGCTGATTAAGGGTGATTCATCTGGAACGGCTAGGGTAACAAGCTGATGGTCCATGAGTCTCATCCTCCAGCAGGCTGGCCTGTGTATGTCCCTCCCATGGAAATAGCAGAGGGTCCAATGGCACATTACAAACCTTTTCTTGTGTTACATTTGCTCATTTCTCACTGGGCAAATCAAGTCACATGGCTTATTGAAGAGTCATAATGGGAAAGCATTACAAAGTGATACAGCAAAGGGCGAGTTGGCTATAAAGAAGGATGAAAACCAGGGCTATATTTGTATTCAATTTACCATTTGTTGTTGTGGTTGTTAAATGCTGTTGAATTGGGTCCCACCCACAGTGACCCTGTATAGGGTTTCCAGGAAGCAGTTGGTGAGCTTAAACTGCCGACCTTGCAGTTCAAACTGACTTTGAGTCTAGTGCATTAACTCACAGCATCACACCAGAGCAAAATTATGCGTTCTATTATGTAATTTTGAGTTTGAAGTGCATGTCAGAAATCCTCATAAAGTTACCCATGGGGAAGTGGATATGAAGGAGGGGGATTTGGGAGACAGAGTTGATTACTTGACATAATTTTGGAAGTGATTTACAAAGAGAAGCAGTTTGAACAAAGAGAATAGTGATATGAGAATACAGATTCAAGGACCAAATCCTTATACTTTGCCTGCTTTTAAAGTGTAGTGGGGAGGAAGAGAAGTCCAGAAAAGAAGCTTAGCAGAGTGGTCTGAGGGGTGACATACCAACCAAATGGGAATGGTCACCAAGCCAAGGTGGAACTGGTTTCAAGATGAAGTCACATGTTGAACAAAGAAGAGGAAGAAAGGCTGCAGTGTGAGTGCTGGGCTTCTAAGGAGATTGTTGTTAACTCCAAGAGTAGATTCAAGTGAATAGTAGGAGAACTCAAACTGTTGGGGACTGAGATGTATGTGAGAGATGAGAACATAGAGATGCTCTTGGATGATAAAGTTTACTGTTCTAAGAGAGGGAGAAGAAGACTGTAAAAATTTGAACATGTGTATGTATTTAGGAGAAGAAGCAGATGAGATGAAGAGATTAACAATAAGGCTGGGGTGGGAAGGAAGAGGTGAGAGTGAGCAGACAACAGGAGAGGGAAGGGAGGTGATAAGTGATGGGACCAAGCCCTAGAAGAAGAGACGGTGGCTATTCGGTTCCAGAGCTCAGAGGCTTAATCATCCTTCAGCAAGGAAGATTTCCTTTCACTCTGTGCGATGTGACAGGAAAATAAGAGCAAGATCAGTTTGGATAGAGAGAAGCTTGCAGGTAATTGATGCAAAATATAAGAACTAAATCCATAAATCTCTTAATTTCAAGTATTTCCTATTTTTTAACATGAATTTATCAAAAACTTTGTTTTACAAAATCTTAGGGCCTAGTTTATTTTATGACCTTGAAAAGTTTTTGTAATGATGCTGTAGTTTTCTGGTCTAGTCTGAGTTTTGTCCATTAATTTATGTTTCCTAGGCTGCATGTCAAGAAAGGAAATTTAAGTTTCTTCTGTTTTGTTTTTTTAAAAAAACTTTTTTGTGTGCTTTCATCTTTCTACTTCTGTGGTTAGAAAGAGTAGTCCCCTGTTGAGCTGAGTTGAGTTTGACATATAGGACAGAGTCAAACTGCTCCATAGGATTTTCTAGGCTGAAAATCTTTACAGTTTGCCTGAATTTCTGACCTTGCATTTACCAACCCAACACTTAACCCAGTATGCCACCGGAACCTCTTAATATTCAGCTTCAGAGCTCTGTAAAGAGTCCTTATGCTCTTTTCCAGGTTCCATTTGGTGAGACTTGAGCCTTACCATCACTAGGGGGCGATCTTCCATGTTGTTATTAAGTGCGCTTGAGTAAGTTTTGACTCATAGCCAACCTTGTTGTTCAAACAAACTTTGAAGTCTAGTGCACTAACCAACAGTGCCCCACCAGGACTCCCAACAATAGCCCTACCATCACTAGGAAGCCATCTTTCCATGTTGTTGTTATTAATTGCTCTTAAGTCTGTTCTGACACATAGCAACCCTGCATAGGGTCTCTTAGGAACAGTTGGTGGGTTTGAACTGCTGACCTTGGAGTTAGCAGTCCAGTGTTTATCCTACACTGCCACACCAAGCTTGGATCTTCCCAAAGAACCTCAAAATTCAAGAGTAATGGCTCCTTATGAATCAACCTTCCAGCATCCCAGGCCTGCACATGGGACAAGGTAGCCACTCTGACTCCACAGCTTCCTTCCTGCAGGTGTGGGATCTGACCCTCAAGTGCACATTGAAGGACCAGAGGAAGATGGAATCCGTGTGGTGTGCACAGCCTCCGGGTGGTTTCCAAAGCCCCAGGTTCAGTGGAGAGACCCGAGTAGAAAAAAGTTCCAGGCTTTCTCTGAGGCCCATGCTCAAGATGCTGAGGGGCTGTTCAGTGTGGAGGCCTCGCTGGTGGTGAGAGACAGCTCTGTAAGGAACGTAACCTGCTCCATCCTTAACCCCATCCTGGGTCAGGAAAAGGTGAAAGCGATTTTCATTCCAGGTCAGCACTGTTTCTGCTCCCTGCAGGGCTGGAGGGAAGAGAACAGGGTCTCTTATTTTGCTGGGCTGGGCTGGCCTGCAGTGTGCCCTGACTGTGTCTCTGGCTGGGCTGCAGAGCCCTTTTTCCCTCAGGCTTCTTTTCCTTGGATGCCAGTGTTTGTGGTGAGCCTGACCATGCTGATGCTCCTCAGCTTAGGGCCTGGCTGTTTTCTCAAAAAAGAACATTCAGCAAAGATGCAGCAGTGGAAGGATTGGAAGACTCTTCAACAGGCTAAGGAGGAGGATGAGAAAAAATGGAAATCGGCCAACAAGGAGGCAGGTAAGAGAGGGTGGGTCTGCATTAGACTGGGGAGGGCAGAGCTGGTGTTGTGAGGAAAAGCTGAGGGCAGGAACAGAGCTGGTAGCAGTGGTTTCCAGGAAGACCCAGGGCCCTTACTCAGAACAGGAATCTCAGGAGATCCGGAGAGGTGTACTGGGGCTGTGAGGTCTCAGATGAGTCTGGAAGGAGAAGTTTCTGCAGTACATAGAGGGAATCTTTTTGTGTGGGTTTTCTAGCACAATCTTTTCTTTTCTTAGGGATAGAGTTCATGCTTTTTCCCCCCCTCCTCTTTCAGATGAACTTCAGAGAGAGCTGGGTAAGTTCTTCTCTCCCTCTGGAACTCTCGGTATCCTGTTTGGGGAAGACTTTCTAGTTCATAGTTCACCTCATTTCCTGTATGTTGCCTTTCAGAGAGGAGGAAGGAGATTTATCACACTGGTGAGTAACTCTCCAAATGCTCCAGGGTCTCCCATCCCACCTGGGTCTAGCTGTCCCCTCTCCCTGTGCCTTTCTGGTATAGATATAAGGACTGTGTTCCCTGGGGCAGAAGTGGAAGTTGGTGGGAAGCAGAATCCTGCCCCTGGGGCTCTCCTGGATCAGGAGCTCTGTTCCCACCCACTGTTGGAACCTGGAATCTGTCATGCATCCTGGGTCTTCTCATTCCAGTGCTGGCCTGTGTCCCATGTTGTTAGTGTTGAACCTTCAGTGCAGCTGGCTCTCAGTCTGCACCTGGAAGCGAAAAGGCAGATGCTCAGGGGTTTCATGAAAGGAACTGTGTATAAAGAAACGGAGTCATTATGTTTAGGGCTATGATTTACTGACCTCCCATTGTGTAATACCAATGGTACTTAACAAGAATTCTCCTCTCTGTGAGTGTGCGTTCTCCCAACTCCTGCAGGTGCTGATGGAAAAGTGATGGGGAGAGGACTGGGATGAGTAAGCAGGGACACCTGGTAACATGAGATGAGAGAGCCTCAGGATGTTGTTGTTGTCAGGTGCCATCGAGTC